AAACAGCAAGGGCAATGGGTTCTTCGATTTCGATTGTGTTCTTCGTTTTAATCGATATATATGATGTTCTATGAGTTATTTGGATTAACATCTTTTCGATTTCGATGTTGCTRTTTTCTACTTCGTAGTGATGYTTGCCTGTGTTCTTCGTTTTTGAGACGTTGCCTTAGTTTCCGATTCGCATCTCTTGATCATTAGCATATGAATTGGATAAAAATATAGAATGTTTGTTATTTTGTGCTTTTGTGTTTCGAATTAGGTCAAGTTATGAAGTTTTTGTTGGATTCATGGACTCTCTTGAATAGAAGCAAAATAACGTTAGGGGTAAATCGGTCATTTTAACCAGTCCAGTCCTGTCTTACCAAACGCTGAACAGCTGTCCTGTCCTGTCCCGTCCCGTCCTGTCCCGTCATGTCCTGTCTGCGCACCAAACGCACCCTAGAATTCAATGTTTTAGGTAACATCTAAATTTAGCAGGTTTAGGATAGCTAAAATATATGGGCAATATAATGTTTTGAAGTATGTTTTTGATGGAAAACTGACCAAGTGAACAGCAGGTATGGTTTAACCATTTGGCATAAAGTTTAATTGTCAAACTGACCTAGTTTAACCAAGATTTGACCCAATCTAAACAAACACTAGTGTTTAACCAAATGTTAGTCAAGTTTGACCAACTATATGCAGAAGGCCAACCATACTATAGAAGGCCAGAATTTCTTTGCAATGTTGTTGCCTTCCTTCCCTTCACAAAATCATCTCTTCTACCTTTAAATTCGGGATAAGGCCCGACAACTTGATGAGTGTAATGTGATTATATAATCCACTTGGTGTACTTTACATTTTATAACCCATTTGTTTTAGCTTTGTATTTTTCTAGGAGTATATGCACATGTGCATACAAGTAATTTGTAAGCAATTTCTCCGGTATGCACACGTGCATAAAAACGAAGAAACAACTTTAATTACTTAAAGAGCAAGCGGCCCATGGTTCCTTCTCCCCTTTCATATCCAAGCTAATGATCTAATGTGAATGATCAAGCTCTCTTATCATCCAGCCAGAAAATGTTCTTTCAGCAGGTACATCCTCTTGCCAGAATTGCCTAACAATGGAAGATGTCTGCACAGAGGTGATAATACCAGATATTTTTATATGAGCTGTCACCTTCATATAGTTCTTTCCAACAGTGTTCCTCAGTTTTTCATTTATTCGGGGTTTTCCTCTGAACCTCCCTCTCTCTCTCTCTCTCTATATATATATATATATTATATGAAGGTCTACTTTTGATTTGTGTGAGCTTTGTATATGCGCCTTGCCAGGATTCGAGCATTTGAGGAGTTCAAGCCTAAATTTTCCAAGCTCGGGAAACCATCAGCTGAACCCGATTACAACAGTTTTTGGATGACATGCATGGTTGGGACTTGGGCTCAAATACACCCCCTTTTGAGATCACATGGATGGAAAAAATTTAATTTGTATTAGGAATCAATCTTTATGTGGAACATATATTCTCATGTATATAACTAGTTGTTGTACAGATCTATAAATATGCTAACAACCAAAATTCTGCATCTATCATTTACACCCAAGTAGAAACTTTAACTAGTGGAGTTCCTCTCCACTCTAAGACCATTTCATTCCCATTGTCTCCTTCAATTCTGATTCCGTACGGACTTTCTTCGTCCTTCACTAGCTCCCTGGCTTCATTTGAGCTTTCTCTGCTCATAGATCGCCCTTTTAGCCCAAGATCCTTTACGGAAACAACTTCTTCCCTTCCTTCCTCCCACTTTTGGAACCAAAACAAAGACGATATGGAAGGTGCAACAAAAAGGGTCTCCATAGCTATCCTCGCTTCAGTGAGGTAACTTGGAAAACCCCATTCCAATGATTCATATAATGCTATGTAGTGTGCCAAATTCCCATCAAAGAATGAAGTGTAGCTTGAGCAATTTTCCGTTCTTTCACCATCTTCTCCATTGCCAAAGGTTATAATGCCTTCGGTTTTTGCTAATAGCCCTTTAGCTATCTTTAGGAAGTCCAAAGCCTGAGTTTTTCTCCTTGTCCTTCCCATATGTGGAAGGCCAATCATACAATTGAAGGCCAAAAATTCCCTGCTTAAATTTGGCCGTTCCATCACCTTCACCAATTGTGTCAATTCCACCTTTTCGACCTTCAAGTTGAGACCCACAGATCTTGCATAGTTGGAGAGCTGCCACTTCGTCTCTTCAAATCCTGAGTCATGCTCTTCTAGTTTGACACTTGTAATGGTCAATAATTTTCGCTGTTGTGATATAGCTTCTATCACCAGAGGCCATTGAGTTCCTTCACCCATGTCAAAGTCAACTATGTGAACTGATTCTACATGGGATGGAACAGCTTCGAGGATGGCTGAATTCGCTGTGAAATGGGCAAACCTCCCGTAAGGAAAGATATCATAGAAGGCTCTGAATGCTGTCTTGAAGTTTCTCATCGATTCTTGTTTAAGATACTCTTCTGCTTGATTTTCTGCACACTGGAACAAATTGAAGGCTATGCGGTCAAGGGCTGGACCGATGGGATTTACTTTTTCACTTATGCATCTCACAATCACTTTGGCAAGTTCTCTCTGTTCCATAGCCATGGCATCTGCATAAGCCTTGAGTAGATTTGGGAGTCCTGTTTCAGATTCGAGTTCCATGTCACCTGATTTCATGGAGAGGTCTGGGCTCCATAGGTCATCACCTTCAATAGATCTTTCTGATTGAATCTCTTCTATCCCTTGATCGTCATCACACAACCATCGGCATACATCATCAAGTGCTTTGATGTTCTGTGAATCATCGTCAACCAGTGAAGGGTTTTGCATCTGATCGTAACCCAACAATGGATATTCCACACATCCATCAGATAAGATGGGAACATACGAATCTAATGAAATCAATGAGTTTTCAGGGGTGCTGTTTATTGGAGAATGAAATTCATGGTGTTCACTCTCATAAAAACCCAAATTTGGACCATAATGATCAATATTTGAATGAAAATAAGATTGAGTTGGCCAAGAAGTCTGAAGTAGAAGCTCAGACTGCATCATCCTTCTATTTTCTTGATGATGATTTTGAAGCCAAGTAGAGAGAACTCTGTGGCTTTGAGTTTTGATGACTGCTGGGGTGTTCCTTTGATATGTTTATATATCATCTTGGTTGCTAGAAATCAACAGAAAAGTTAAACTGTATATAAGAATTATAATTTGAATCAAGTTAACTACTCAAAAGACCTCATTTTTTGTCTTCCTTTATTGCTTGGAGTTTTCTTAAGGTTGGCCAGCTGTATCCATCAGTCTTATATTAAACTGTTAAAATCTCAATCAATCATTTTGCTAGAAAACTACTCACAATAAGTTTCAACTTTAGTATGTGTATATTAATTGCAAATTTTTTGTTTTGGCGATACTTTTTTCTAGAATAGCTCTTTTGCTCGTCTTTTGCAGAATCATTTGATGATACTGATTTTGATTCCTGCCATTCTCCTTATTTCGTTACTGTTGAAGGAAATCATATACATGCTACTAATTTGGACAATCTCTTCTCAAAATAATCAATTCTAAAATCCAAAATGAATGCTTTATTATGACTTGATATAGTAAATTAGAAGTTGCACATCACTCCATACATGAAAATTCACCTCTGAGAAAGGGTCTAACAGCTTTTACTTAAACTGCATGCCTAGTCAAACTTGCAACTTTTATGAAAAGGAGGGAATATGCTATTTCAAGGTTTTTATTTTGATTTTCCTATATTCAAACTCGATCTCTGCATGACGCTAGAAGTCATGGGAATGCTCTCATCCAATAAAAGGGCACAGCTATTTCTAGATGAATATATTCGTTTAATCTTTTTATTTTGGATAAAGGTCTATCTAATCATTTTATTATCATGTCATTGTGGTAATTGGTTTTTAATTTGTTGGTTGAATGATATTGTGGCTGCTTGTTGTCTGTGGGGTCCCCAATAATCTCGATTGTCTTTTGTAATCTTCATTTTGTGATCTTTGCCCCATTAGAAAATGTTAACATCATGAGCAGTCTTTGGTTTCGTACAAACTCTTTCTTGTTGTAATCAAATTAGTTTATTATGGATGTGATTGGTGATGGTTGTGACATGATATTTTTTTAATAAAGTTTAATGTATTTTACGTAATCAAGATTTGGATAAATATTGGATATATGCTTGTCGTATATGATAGCTTCAGGCATTTTATCTCGTTCTCAATTTTCTCCCTTAAAATATAATATCTTGATTTGATGATTCTTTATTTTATGAATCATCCCTCTTTCTTGTTTGGAGTCCTTTAGTGTGCCATGATAATAGGTAGTATAGAGGCTTAAAGAATTAGAATTTGATGTTAGTTAACTACTTAAAAGAAGTCATTTTTGGTCTTTTCTCATGGTTTGGAATTTTCCTTATTGTTGGTCAGCTTTTCTTTATCACTTTTATATTATACTGTTAAATTCTCGATCAAGAATCTTATTTGATGAGTCATTCATGTCTATTTCAAGGATGAGTTTTTTGTTTGGTTAATTACTTTTTGTATGATGGCAGGAGTCATGGAACGTTTTTCATCGAATTAAAAATGCAGAATACCCCTTCAGGCATGCTTTCATCTCTACAGGTATACACCTATATATTCTTTTTCTTGTTTTCCAGTCAATGCTGGGATTGGGTATTAACTTGAAAGTTGAATGATATTGTGGCTGCTTATTGTGTGCGGGACCCACATATCGTTCAAATATGTCCTTTTTTGTGCGGATAATCAGTTGATCTGTTACGAGAAAGATTACATGTGTTAATCATGTGGACAGTTTGGTTTCTTGCAATCTCTTTCTTTGCATAACCTTAGCCTTACATGCTTATTATATGTATGAAGGTGATTGGTGTGGCATGGTATACTTTATTTGGCTTATCATTCTTCTAGTTTTTGTACCTTTTCCTAAATGTAATACATGGTTCCCAATTTGTTTATGTTTTCAAATATATAATTATTTTACAGATCTTTTTTGCAGGATTATATCCTAAAAGAAATATATATAAATAATTACTATTGTTAATGGGTTATGATGCACATTCGGAGATATCAACCAGTAAATATTTACATGGAGGGAAGTGATGAGGAAAATGTATCAAATAAATATGTTGGAAAACATCATTCATTTCATGTGTCTAGTGACTTTTGGTTGTGATCTTTTAAAGAGTTTTTATTACAATTTCTATTGAACTCTTCTAATTTTAATTCTATGCAAGCTTATAAGAGCCTAGATGGATCATCTCCATCAGATCCGAGCCTATACAAGCCAACCCTAAATGAACCGAGCCAAGGCTTGAGCTTTTGATGATCTGGGCCCAATAGCGCTCTTATCCACAAACTAGCTCATGCTTCCCGACTATTTGATAACTATAGCAAGCTTGGATCTTCTCAAAAAACACTCCTTATTTGTCACACATTGCGAGATAGTTGGAATTGATAATTTGTATTAGGAATCTATCTTTGTGCAGAAATATCTTCATTATATATGTATAATAACTAGTTTCTTTTAACCCTTTGGGTAACTCAACTGCTACGGCCTTGAATTTGCTCCCTAGAGGTCACCAGTTCAAGTCCCCTCAAGAACAACTGGTACGGCCTTGGGTTTGCATGAGGGTGATTGGTGTTATACGTTGCGTTTTATTTGGCTTATAATTGATCAATGCTAATCTTTTTTAGATATGATATTCGTATATCCTTATCACTCTTCTATTTGTACCTTTTCTTAAATATTAAATGTTCTCGGTTTGGTTTATGTTTTAAAATCTGATTTTATTACTGCAAATTTAGCAGGATTATATCCTAAAAGAAATGTATAATTAACTACAATTTTAATAGATTACATGTGAAAACCACCTGAACCGGATCAGAGTAAACAACAATGCCGAATCTATTGGTCTATCGTCTTTCCATTCCTTCACCCAAGAGCAAAAGGTAGAAACATCAAGAAAAGGTTGCWTGCTCCATACCATAACATAACATAAGTGGTTAGTAACATATATTTAACTTTATTAACTGATTCACATTCTAAAATGTGAATTAGTGAGGGTATGGATGGAAGTGGTGAGAAAAACATTTCAAATATTTTTGGGTTGCCAAGTAAGCCTGGAAAAGTCATTAATGCCCCAGTGACTTAGTTTGTAACTTTTTAATAGAGGTTTTATTGTAATTTCTGTTGAACTGTTCTAAGTTCAATTTTATACAAGCTTATTAAGAGCCCAGATGCATCATCTCCATCACATCCAAGCCTACACAAGCCAATCCTATATGAACCAGGCCAAGGTTCGACCTTTTGACGAGCTGAGCCCAATAGAGTTTCTTAGCCATTAGCTAGTCCAAGCCTACTGATTATTTGATAACCCTAGCAGACTTGACGTGGCTTGGGTTGGTTCGGATTGCCAGGGAGGTTGGGATCTGCCAGTAACCCGAATACCCTAGGCTAATGACAATTTGGTTTTGGTCTGATCTTGGAATTCTGCTTATGGTTGGTCAGATAACTAATCTCTCTTGACTTATATTGTTAAGTACTAGAATTTTCAGTCAAGAATCTTTTGTTTTTACTTTCCTTCGTTTTTAATTAATCATTTTGTTGGATATTAAGTTGAAGGTTTGAATGATATTGTGGCTGCATCTTTTATATTATTTGAATAATTGTTTAACCTATTAGGAGAAAGATTACGATTATTAACCATATGAACAGTTTGATTTCCTGCAAACTCTTTTGTGGTATAGCCTTACTTGTTTAATATGAATATGAAGGTGATTGATGTGTTTTTAGGCTTACTGCTGATTTATCCCAATCTGTTTTAGATATGGTTGTGATAACATTCTTATCATTCTTCTAATATTTGTACATTTTAACAATTATATATTCGTTCTTGATCAATTGAGATAATTATTTATAGCTCATATTAGCATGATCATTTCGTAAAAGAAATATATAATTAATTCTATTTTAATAGATTACAATTTAGTAATCAACATCTAAGGGCATGTTTGTTAGCAGCTTAATGAGGTTCATAGCTATACATGACTCTTTGATAGTGGCTTAATAATATAGAAAGTGGCTTATTCATAAGCTTCTAGGAGGGAGCTTTATGCAGAAAGCCAAGTTTTTATTTTCCAAACCTACCTCTCCTGATTAAAAACATGCTCCTTCCATGCATGAAGAAAAGCCTCCCAAACAAAAATCCTCCCAATCTATACAGACAGATTAATCCACACAGACAACTTTATTTATATAGGACTTAATGGAAAACCAACCAAACAGCCCCTAAGTACTCTTAGAGAAGCTGGTCAACACTTTTCTTTCTGATAGTGTATTTTAGGATCGTAAAATCGGACAAGGCAACATTGCGGATAAGTTGGTTAAAGACCACCATTTAGGTTAGGCCTTTGTTAGGAATCACAATTATTGGGGGGTTTCTAAAGCCGATACACACAAATCCCAAATACAATAAATATGTTTATAAACTACCAAACGACAAACGAGTAAACAAATCTGATGTCAAATGTGTTCAGTGTCCCATACAAATGATAATGCACAACAATAGCAACCAAACAATGTAAATGCAACAGAAACAAGAACGAACGCAATGATTTAACGTGGTTAAACTATATGTGTGATGGTGTACGTCCATAGGTAGATATGGGGTTTTGTATATTAATAATCAACGAAGAATTACAGTTAACAATGATACAACAATGAATCCACTAGGGTAATCTCAACAATGCACCAACATTCGTCTATGTGGGAAGCAACAACAAAGAAGATTAAGAACAAGCCCTAGAATACGACTTGTTAGAGCATCTCCAACAGATCCTCCAAAATGGACATTTTGGGGATTTTTCCTCCAACAGATTCCCCAAAACTTCTCCAAAATGGAGAAAGTATGAGAGAAATGATGAAATTCTCCAAATTTGGAGATTTCTCCAAAAATTATTACTCACGAGAGAGAAAGAGAGAAATGATTTTTTATCTATTTTACCAATGAGATTGCTTGAAATTAATTTTTTTTAGGAGAGAGATAATATTTTATGAGGTGTATTGAATATTTAATCATATAGTTAATTATATAATCTCCAAAATAGAGAATCTGTTGGAGATGAAGGTAATTGTTTTTAGAAATTTTGACTTTTTACTTCTCCATTTTGGAGAATTTATCGAAGATGCTCTTATGCTACTGGCCTTGTGACACGAGTCTGCGACTTAAAGTTGCAAGGCTAGCTTGCCTCGTCCAATATTGGGTCATACGTAGGAGCTGGCAGCTTGGCCGATACCAATGCTCAAGTTCAGCAATCACAGACGCCACCTTAGGTCACATGCTTTAGAAGGTTGGTGGTTGCAAAAGAGTAATGTAGCTCCCTAAAGTCTCGACTACCTAGCCCGACAACCAAATCTAACAACCTTAGTCGTGAGCTACCAAGTTTGGCTTGGTATAACTTTAAAAACAACACTCAACCTTGATACCAAGTGCAAACACCAGTATGAATAAGGTACCAATCTTCCCAAAAGGCAGACAACCTAAGTCTCGGGTGTCAATGAGACGTGGCGATCACCCGCTAACCCATCCGTCAATAATCAAAATGTCATACCTTGTTTTCAAGATCATCAATACACCTCACATGCATAAACACACAACAATGGGGAGAAGGATGATCTTCTAGCAATGCTCGAACTTCTTAGCACCCAATGGGGTTTGTGAACATATTCGATGCATTATCATTTGTGTGAATCTTCTCGAGTGATATGAACTTTTCCTCATGTATCGCCACAAGACAAGACTCTTGATGCGTACGTGTTATGTCCTCGAGCTGAAAGCCAAGTTCCTAGAGCAAGGTGAATTTTGCTTTGGTTATCAAAATCTACTACCATCATATCCTTGATGAAACCAACATCACTCAACAACTCCTTTAAGTAGACAACCTCTTTCTTCACTTCTATCACTACGACCAATTCCGTTTCTGTAGTTGACAAGGCCATGATGGACTGCAACCTTGTTTGTCAATTGGTGATCCCACAAACTGAAAACACACCCCAAGGTCGACTTTGCATGATCACTGTCACTGGCACAACCAGAGTCTGAAAAAACGATCAAACTGCACTACACTTTGTTGTCGCCAAATACGAGCCCCTTATCCAAAGTTCCCTTCAAGTACCTCAATATGGCTTTCATGACCTCCAACTGTGCATTACCAGGTTTACCTGCTAACAACTCCACGTGCTTGTGCGAAGTATGGTCTTTTGCAAACCTTATCATACATGATATGATACTACCAACGACACTTGGTTATAGTACTTTTCTTGTTTTGAATTGCTTATATTTTCAAATTATGTTGTTCGCGATCTTCAAGTGTGCAAAATTGGCATCACCAACATACAGTTTCCTACCAAACGGTCATTGGCTCAGTGAGTCAGCAATATCTGAGATACCTGTAGAGCTTAGCCTTTCGAAAGGCCAACGGTTCAAACCTCACAAAAAATAAAAATGTATATGTAGATATTTATAGTATATAAATATTTTATGCTTAAAAGAATAAGATACAGTTTGCTCTCATCTAAAAATTAAAGGACAAACACAAAAAGTGATCATGGTTGACTTGGGAAACCAATCATTTGGGATGATTGTCATCGTCTTGGTGGCACCGATTTAACCACAACTTTGAGTAGAAGAGTTAAACAAATACGCCAATAACAAATTCCAGATCCTCCCTTTTCTTGGCATGGACATCATTTGGATCAATGTTCTAAAAACATATATATATATATATATATATATAGGTAGGTTGATACGAGAATGGTATCTATTTAAGAAAATAAGTGAATGGCCAAATTACATACAAATGACATGTGATTTTACACATCATGTTAGTGTACAATTACATGTGATTCAACCATTCTCTTGTTAAATAGGTATTCTCGTATGAACTCGATTCTCTCTCTCTCTCTATATATATATATGAAAATAATGGGAAAAATCGAATTCAGTTGTCAACTGTCCCTGTTGAAAATAGGTGGAACACAAACCCAATCGGCTAAAGAATGAGGGCTTGAAAGTTTCTTACTGTGTGTAAACAACTAACACAATTTTTTTTTTCTTTTTCACAGGACCAGGAGATTGGATCTCCATTCGTTTGTAGAGCTATTTACTCGATCGCCGTGAACGGACCGGAGGGAACTGCAAGAGCGGAGCTCTACCAAGAAAGGGGGTGAAAGAGAATGAACATAACCTGAGAGGGAGCCTCGGGTGTCAGGTACCCACATGAGACTCTTTTTTCTGAGGTTATAAGCATCATTGAATTCTCACCGGTGTTTGCTAGAACACCAACGGCGAACGCACTCTGATGGACAGGGTAAATTTTTTACTCAACACAATTAAAGCCGAAGGCTAGTGAGTGGTCTTCCCCCTACTTTCCTTCCTTCTCTAGCAGCTACAATCTTGAAAATAGGTGCGAGGGCCTGCACTCACTCAGTTCACCTCCCCTGCAGAAGCTAGTGCCACCATATAGCCAAAAGGTTATTTTGAGAAGTGGTAAATATTTGAGAAGTAGAGAAGTGATTCTAGCCCGGTCAAGATCGGATTTGACTGGTCAATATTTGCATATTTGACCGGTCAAAAATTGCGGGTTTGGAAAAATATAGGGGTAGTTTCATAACTTCTATAAATAGACGGCAAACGGGTTCATATATGAACCTATGTGATGCATATATGAACTATATGTTCACATGTGAACTCGTGTAATTAACATATTAACTATTTTAACCGATTCACATATAAATCTGTGTGATTCACGTATGAAGTAATTAACTGTTTCATATATAACCCTTTGTTATTCACATATGAACAAATTAATCGATTCATATAATGAACCCGTGTGATTATATATGAACTATTTAACATGAATCGGTTAAATAATTCCGTGTGAACTAATTAACGGGTTCACATGTAAACATATAGTTCATATGTGAATCACATGTATGAACATATTTGCCACTTATTTGTAAAAGTTACGAAATTACCTCTCTATCTTTGGCATACCCATGCGAGGTATTATCCAGTGCTCCACGGTGAAAGCCGCAAATGTTGACAGGATGAAGGGCTAGTATCACTTGTTTGCTTCTCAAATGAACCTTTCAATATATATATATATATATATATATATATAGAGAGAGAGAGAGAGAGAGAGAGAGGGGAGGTTCAAGGGAAAACCTCAATAAAATGAAAAACTGAGGAAAACCCTCATAACCATACATCTGGACGGTATTGACATGTGCATACCGGTAATTGAAGTCGTTTCTTGGTTTTTATGCACATGTCCATGTTAGGAACATGTGCATACCAGACAAATTGCTTAAATTTACTTGTATGCGCATATGCATACCTTCCAGATGAACGGTTACAAGAGTGTTTCTCAGTTTTTCATTTTTTTGTGGTTTTCCTCTAAACCTAACCCTATATGTGCATACAAGTAATTCAAGTTTTTGTTTTTTATGCATATGTACATGTACATGTACATGTGCATATACATGTGTTGTAACACCTGGAATTTTAGTAAGGAAAATATTTTAGCAAGTCTTGTTTGGTTTACATTGTATTTATAATCATGAAGGTATATAATATAAATATATAACATATATGTAAACAACTTATAACTATGTAACTTATATATATGATACATATACATATAGACTTTGGATCATGTGAGACCAGCCTGTTTTCGTGAGATCCGTGAGATCATCTTTTTACACTTGAAACTTCACAACAAAATGCTGTGAAGGTGACTTTTTTTAACCTTCACAGTGTTTTTGCTGTGAAGGTTCGACTTTTTTCTAACCTTCACAGTGTTTTTGCTGTGAAGTTTACGTGTAAAAATGTGGTCTCATGGGTCTCACGAAAACAGGTTGGTCTCACGTGAACCCAACCCTATACATATATATTGTATCTTTAGACACACACATATAATATATATATATATATATAGGTGGAGGTTCAAACGAGAATCCATGTGATTTACGAGAACGCGAGGACAACCCAATAACCTCAAACTTTTTTAATTAATAAATTAACTTTTATTATATATAAATAATTTAATAAGGACAGTAATGTAATTAAGTAATTTTTATAATTTTTGTTTTATTTTAATTAATCATGTTTATCCTTTCACGTTTCCACGTCTTTTTAGTTTTCTTCTTCTCCTTCATTCATGCGTATTCTCCTTCTCGTTCATCATAATCTGCACATAGTCGATGGGTTAACATCTTTTCTTCWTTTCGGTAGTGTCCATATTTTTGTCTATCTAAAATGGACGACTTGAATGTTGTTGGTAAGGAAGTTTGTTCAGGATCAAGTTATTCGAACGACGATTCTGTGGGCTTTTCTCAAGATTGTTTTTTTGAAGACARCTTTTTTGAAAGTAGTTYTGATAACGATGAGGAAGGTACGATGTGATAACATTAAAATATGTCATCAATTTTCATGAATGGTTTTTTGGGGTTTTTATCACATGTGATAAAAAGTAGAAGGACTTGTCAATGTAAACATTTTCTGCCCATTTATTGTTTTTGGTATATGTTAATTTGAGTTTAATGTTATTCTACTGTTGGACCCATTTTTTTCGTTCGCTCATAGATTTGATAAACATAAAAAAAAAAATTCGTTCGCTCATAGATTTACTGTACTTTTTAAATTGAAAAGTTTGATATTTTATCACATGTGATAAACCGGATGTTTATATGTATGTGGATACTGTTTGGTTCGTTTTCCATTAAATTTATGTAAATGATGCAACAACAACTGCTTTTGACACCCAAAATGTTGATGGCATCGACTTACCAGTGATCACAGGAGCTGTGATAATGGTGTGATAGATGTGATAATAGACATATGATTGATGCTAGTAAACAATGTAAATCAGCAAGTGAAAAATGACAGCTATTTTTGTAATCAAGATGGTTAATTTCACATTCAACTTGTAACACCAAATCAATGATTATAATTATGATATCTATGTAAGTGAGAATTTTGGATGTTTATCACATGTGATAAATATCCATGTGATAAACAACAACTGCTTTTGACACCTAAAATGTTGATGGCATCGACTTACCAGTGATCACAGGAGCTGTGATAATGGTGTGATAGATGCGATAATGGTGTGATAGATGTGATAATAGACATTCCCAAATTGTGTCTTGATATTACATAAGTATCACAACTAATCGATTAAAAACTTATTCAAAACGAGTAATTTTGAAAGATACCTTGAATTTGTCCGTTTGTTGCATGCAATGACTTCTCGATTAGGATTCTTGGTCGACTACGGTTGCGTGTTCTTGGTTGGTCATCGTCGATCAACACCGTCGCCGTCCGTAGTTTTTGCGATTTGAAGTTAGGCTTGTAATCGTAACCGTTTTGTATATGATAATGATAAGTTTAAAAGATTTTGATTGTGTTTAATGATAAGTTTAAAAAAATTTAACCGTTTTCTAGATAATATATCATTTCCATTATTACCCTTTTAATTTTAAATTTTTTTGAATCTTTTTAAATTTTAAGTTTAATTTTAAAAATCTTTTAATTTTATTTTTTATCACAATATGTGGTTATTAAGTTGTTCTTGCGTTTTCGTAAATCACAAGGGTTCTCGTTTGAACCCTTTCCTATATATATATATATATATATATATATATATATATATATATATATATATATATATATATCAATCCATGTGTACCAAATTGATTATGATACTATAGTGGGAGGGGTCATCATGTAAAACTTGTGGATGTGAGGGGCAGTTTGTGTGAAGATGAATTAAAGGTTTTGTGTGGTTAGTGGAGCCTGAGCCTGAGCCTAGAAAATGGTGCTGGTTTTTGTGAGCAAACGTGGGGCTAAGGCGGTTGAACCCGCAGGGCACCCATTTATGTCTCCTTACCTTCTACATTTAGGGGTATCCGTGGGTTGGGTTGGACGGTTTACAATATTTTTACAATTTAACCTAATTATGACGGTTTTAAAAAAAAATCTTAACCCAACTCAACTCATTCAAAAGTATAACCAAACCCAAACCAAACCTTGCGGGTTGGGTTGGGTTGGGTTGACAGGTTAGTAGTTACATAATTTGACGAATGAACTATTTCGTAAAACTTAAGTTTATAGACCATACTATAAAATGTCATATCTAAAAAGGTTACAATAAGTTTATAGGACGTTTTTGGACGTTCCAACAAGTGTTTTAGAATGATCTTTAAATAAAATGTCGTATTAGTTATTTTATAGAAACATTTTGAGAAGTGTCCCGTAAACTCATCTATTTATATGACACCTATGTTCATATGAAACTTTTTTAAGTCGTGTCGTATAAAATAACTAATATGACACCTTATTTTAAAAACGTCAAATAATTTGTTAAGATATCCAAAATCATTCTATAAACATATTGTAACTCTTTTAGATAAGACATTTTATTTTGTCACGTCATATAAAGTATCATATTAGGACGCTTAGACATTTTAGGCATCCTATAAGATCTAATATTGTTGTAGCGAAATGCTATAACTATGCATTTTCTTTCCACTGAACTACAACATAAAATGACGGGGTATTTAGATTGATAGATTCGTCCATCAACTATTTATCAATATCATTCATATTCTACAACATATCAATTTGTTGTTGCTACAAAAAAAATTCAATAATTTTTCTTATTAATTAGATTATGTGTTATCATTCTTTGATCGTGAATTACTTTTGATAACCTATACGTTTAGCTAAAATGAAACAAAACATAATATCAATAAAAATTATATAACATTTATACATTATTAATATATATATATATATATATTAAACATATATGTGTGTGTATATATATATATATATATATATATATATATATATAACTTTATAAAAATTATATATTAGCGGCGGGTTGACGGGTTGGGCGGGTTGAGCTAGGTTCAACACAATTTAAACCTTCTAATTGGCGGATTAGCGGTTAGGTGGGTAAGCGGTTTGGCGGGTTGGATTTAATTGGGTTGTTAGCAGGTTGGGTTGGGCGGGTTTCGTGGGTTGACGGTTTTTTATGCACCCCTATCTACATTTACTATTATTTACTACGCCACCTACCTTTAATTTCATTCAAGAACCACATTAAGGTCGGTTTTGGTGATGATTCAAGGTTTGCCACTAAAAACCTGGTGGTGAGTACATATCCTTTTTGTAAAACTAGATACATCTCTATATGTTATGTGTAATTACTTATCTACCCTATTTGCACATGTTTATCCATAATTTGTTGTTTTAGGTTATGTTTCGGATTTATGCATAATCTTGAAATTGTCCCTCAGGCTGAGTTTGGTACATAAACTTATTGTGTCACGTTTGGTGCGACATGAGACAAAGACAAGAAAACTGCGACAAGGTGGGATAGCGTGGAACAAAAAAGGTTTTTATTTGGTGGAACAAGATGGTACAAGAATGAGATAAAAACTAAAATATTACTAACTAACTCTCGTTTGATATACAACTTTAACATGATATTTGTTTTAGTGGTCACAATCGCTAGTTGCGGTCGCCGCCGCCACCACCGGTAGCCACTGTCGACGACCTCCCCCTCCTCCACCACCTCCACAACCACCATCGACTACCACTGTCTATCACCACCTCCACAACCACCATTGCCACTACCACCGGTGGCCACCTCCACCTTCTCTTCTACTACAACCTCCTTCACCACCTCCACAACCATCGTTGGCCACCGACCAACACCGTTCATCGCCACTACCATGGGCCATCTCACCTCATGAGCTAACACAATATAAGATCTGTTTTGCAAAAATAAGATCATCCAAATAAGATAATCTTATGACTTAAAGACTCATGAGTTGACACAATGAATCTCATTCTTCCTTATACACACCTCCTAGTTCCAAGTTTTCAATCTCTCACCAATGTGGGATATCTCAAACTCAACCACAATTCATCAACACCTCAATACTCAATTCTTATGATGTCACCTCAATACTCTTAGTTCTTTATATATATATATAGAGAGAGAGAGATTTAAAATATAATCAATTTTGAAATTAAATAAATTATATGAAAAATAAAATTTTATAATTTGACATTTATATGTTATATTTTTTTCATCTGTTATTTTAATCGATACACATAAACTAAGTGAAGTTACTCAACATAAACGGCAAAGCCAACATCATGAAAGCGTTCATATACATGCTACATTCACACATACAACCATGTCTCGAAACGGATTAATCATTAAGAATATTCAAATCATAATAAGCCGAATAAAACATGTTAAGAATATTCAAATCAGTATAAGCCGAATAAAACATTTTTACGTCACATCAGATATTATTTAATGAAAGAAAACCAATATAAGTATGAAAGGAAAGATATTGCGTGAAACCAAACTCTTCATATGTATCTACTCCAAATTAGTCAAATAATTATTGAAGGATAAAAACATTTGAAGAATATGTTTGACTCCAAAAAACATCCACAATATCATTCAACCATCAAATTAATATCCAATCATGTCCAAATCACATGACTTTATAAATTAAGACATCTATTTCAATGGTATTAAAAGAGTTAAAAAAAACAAAAATATTATATTTTTTTCTAAATCCAAAGAAGAATAAAAATCTCTTTATGGTCACAGAAGTTCAAATGTGGTGATTTTGGATTACCCGCAAAGCAAGTGATCATCTTGAGATTAGCCGGCTCGCATAGCTGGTTGGATATCCAGATCAATAAAGAAATATATAAAAAATACTTTTTTATAAATTAAGACATGTATTTCATTGCTTATAAAATTTTTGCATTGGAGAACCACAAAGCTTGTGGTGCAGTGGTTGTGGCTGTGGGGATGTGTGGGCAAAGAGTTTATCAAAGTTGATTTCTTGCAATCATAATTTGTCGGGATTAGTCTAGCCATAGCCTAGAACACCCTTCCAAATTTTTTTTTTTTGCATTGGAGATGCTCTTATCGGGCAAGCGTCTCTTACCCAGTAAGAGGTAATAAGTGTTCAGTTAACCGATGATAAGAGAAGTAAATGTTTAAAAAGAACCCCCTTAGTCTTACTCTATCTCGTCTTATTCCAGTTTAATGTCATTTCAAACATGAAACAACAAATTTTTATTCAATTATGTCTTATCTAATCTGTGTACCAGACACAAAACAAACAAATAGATAAATTCAATTAACATGAATTCTCCTTTCCACCATATTATTATAGAAACCATGATGTCTTGATCCAATAAGATTCTTGATTGTGATTTTGACATTAGAATATGAATGTAGATAGGTACAAGCTGACCCTACTTTCAACTTGATTGCTTCATATTCTATATTTTTAACCCCTTTTTTTTTTTTAACTTTTCTGTCCACATTTTTCAACCAATATCATGTATAAAACACATCAAGAAACACCCAAATTGAATCATCACCTTCAATTCCTTTGAGATCATCAACAAAAACATGATGCTGTCTGAGCTTCTCCTTCAACCTTCTTACATCCATTCAGATCTTGATCCATATCATCCAAATCTTGAGTTTTCTTCCCCATTTCATTCTTATTTTGATTCAGATCTTGATTTTTCTTCTTCACTTTCCACCACTCCTGAAAACTCTTCATCGATTTCATCGGTCAACTTGCCTATTTTATCTGATTATCCATTTTCTGGTTATAATCATATGGAGGGGTTGGATGATGTCTGTAGATGGTTGTGTGATGATGATGATGATGGTGATGATGATGATCAAGAGATGGAACAGATTCCTGAACAAATGCCTTCTGGAAATCACCATTTCTGGAGTCCGGACTTTTCCCAGAAATCTAGTGAGGCTCCGGAATCATCAACGGTATTAGAAACTGATGATTCCATGGGAACAGGAATCCAGAATCTACTCATGGCTTATGCAGACGCCATGGGAATCGGGCAGAAAGAACTTGCCGACGTGATCGTGAAATGCATACGCGAAAAAATCAACCCGAATGGTTCGCCCATCGAACGCATAGCCCACAACTTGTTCCAGCCAGTAGAAGATCAAGAAAACGCGTATCTGAAACTAGAATCCGCTAGAAACTTCAATCCAGCATTCCGGGCCTTCTATGAGATCTTTCCCTATGGGCGGTTCGCTCATTTCACAGCAAACTCGGCCATTCTTGACTCGGTTCCAATCAATATCAACTCGGTTCACATAGTTGACTTTGATATGCGTGAAGGAACCCAATGGCCTCCTGTGATCGAAGCCATGGCTCGAACCAAAAAGTCATTAACCATCACAAGTATCAAACTAGAAGATCATGACTCGAGTTTCGAAGGAAGAAAGATCCATCTGTGTAACTTTGCAAGAACTTTCGGTCTAGATTTGAAGGTTCAAGAGATGGGTATGGAAGAAATGGTGAAAGAATTGGATGGAAGAGAATTTCTAGCCTTTAATTGTATGGTTGGTCTTCCACATATGGGAAGAACTAGAAAAACATCTCAGATTATGGGGTTTCTGAAACTAGCCAAAGGGATTTTATCGAAAAACGAAGGTGTCATAACGATCGGCAACGGAGAAGGAGGCGAAAGAATGAGAAATTCTTTAGATTATACTTCCTTTTTTGACAATTATTTGGTACATTATAACGCGTTATACGAATCGATGGAATGGGGTTTTCCTAGCTATTTGAATGAAGCAAGAATGGCTATGGAGACCCTTTTCGTTGCACCTTATGTGTCGATCGAAAAGTGGGAGGAACGAAGAGAAGAGACGGTTTTCGAAAAGGGTTTTGGTTTTAAAGGAGAAAGAATGAGTAAAGAAAGCTGGAATGAAGCCATGGAAATGGTGAAGGAAGGAGAAAGTCCATATGGAATTAGGGTTGAAGGTGATAATGAGAATGAAATGGTGTTGGAATGGAGAGGTGTTCCATTAGTTAGAGTTTCTGCTTGGAGGTAAATAGAATACAGATTCTTAATCATTCTGTATTAAACCATTCATCATTCTGTATCAAATCATTCATCATCTAGGTTTTTAGATAGTGTTTATAAATATGTAAAAAATCAATTAAAGGAGTACATAGATTGATTCATAATGAATGATGATTACATTATGTAAATATGTGTGATTCATCATAAAACCCATTAAATTGAGATATTTATGGAAATGATGATAGTTTATTTATTATGATTTGAATATTTTTAAAAGATAAATATAGTTCACTAATTATGATCAATATTTTATATTAGGAAACAATGAAAACTTCTATTAAATCACATATTCATCAAATTAAATGTACGGTTGAGATTGAGTTGTATCGAATGTACAAATATAAAGGGTTGTATAATAACTCACTTTTATATATATATATATATATATATATATATATATATATATATGCGCAAAACAGTTGTAGGAAAAGTGGAAGCACTTTCCATGTCATCTTAGCAGGCTTGTACTTAACCCTAGAAAAAAGGGTTGGGTTCCGATGAAGATAATTGTTCTGATAACAACAGTAAGAACATCTTGGAACTGTTGATCACTTTTGATATGATGGAGCTGATCGTGGGCTTTTGTGAAATGGTCAAAAACCAATTTATCAGTAGAAGTCTAAAGAAAATTCGCAAATTCAAGATGCTCAAATAGGGAAATAGTTGGAATGTAGGATCTGTCAATACGATCAACCAAATAACAAAGTAAAAGAAAAACGATAAATGTCATTAAAGATAAGAATTTTATTCCTATTTTGTATAACATGCTTCGATAAAAACACATTTAAGAACTTTTAGTTTGAAAAATGTATATTTTAGTAGTTAATGATGACCCAGAAACAATTTTGCAAACAAACCACAAGGGTTGGGGCAAATTGGTTGAGGCACAAGGAGATGTTGTGGAATATTTCATCTTTTCAAAGGTTCAATTCCAGGCGTCCATAACAATTGTGACCACTGAGTTTATCAGATCTGATATCTTATGTCTACAACAATAAATATCTATATATATCTTATCCTCAAAGCTTACTTAAATATAGTAGATATGTTTATACATTTGGGACCAATAAATATGCATCTAAAACACCAAAATACCTCATATTGGAGACATCCAATGAACAAAACTCTTTACATACAATCATCCACAAGATTACATCCCGTAAAAGTACTCGGAGTTCGAATCACATACTTATGAGTCGGAAACAAACAGTTCCCATCTATCGATTTCGTGGGTGTCTGGGTTAGTTTGTTTGTGCACACCTCGACTAATCCCTATAGACCCTGACTGAAGATAACACAAGGAAAGTCCCCAGTAGCTCTAAGATGAGACTTTCATTTTTCGATTTACTCACCAGTAGATGAGGTTTCCGGTTTTAGAAGAAAATGATACGAAAACCGTTTACACCAAAAGTATGAACCAAAGAAGAGTTGTACTTCTATTTCTGCTTGTGTTTAAATCCCCATTGCGATTTAACGCTTGCAGATGATACTCTAACAGGACTTTTGACACCACAGGGTGGTTTGTGCTTCGTACGCCATGGGAATAACGAATCGATCCCGAGCCCGCACCCTTTAGGCGAAGTGTCGATCATTTGAGGCTTATATTTCTCCGGTTGATTACTAAGATTGTTTGGAATCGGAAGACCGGACGATATCGCAAGAGCTTTGGCATCTGAAAGAAACCGTTGAATGATAAAACTAGGAGACTGATTCCCGCCCTGCTCCAAATTTACACCGTCCAACAAACTACCATTCCGTTTCGCCATCTCCGCCGACTCCACCATGTCGATGGCAGCCGACAACGAGAACGTGTCCATGGCGTCCGAGAAGTCGTCATCACCATCGTATTCGTTTTCCGCAAGTTTCCGGCCTGGTGGTGGTCGTGGAGGTGGGACCAGAAAATCATCAGGGACTTTTGCGGCATCCTTTGGCTTACCGGCACTTAGTTCCCATGAAAACGGCACCCTGTTACGCGAGTCCCAGGAAGCAGCTCGTGCGTTTGCATGACCAGTTGCACCGTTGGTTCGTCTGGTGGACAACAACGGTGCATCGAGGTTCAGTTTTCTGGGAACTTTTAGTTCTGAAGCCATGGCTGAAACTTTTAGTAAATGGAAGAAGAAGAAAGTTTTATATAAGTGGTTGGATAACATGACTACCATAACAGCTGTAGCTTTATGCATCTCGTGCAGGCTAATAAAAGGTTCACTTTAGAACCTCACAGATGTTGAAAAGTTAACTAAATTTATTTCTTCACTTTTTCTAGGTACCCTGCACCAACGGATCTGTTGGGTCGGAAAACCAAACCAAAGTCCATAAATCCCAGTCTGAAAAAGCTTGAATGAACCCTTCTCCGACCCCAAAGCCGGAGCCTAAACCCTTTTCAAAGCCACCCCACCCAAAAAAGCCCGACCTGGCCCACACCCAGCCTTAAAGCCCGATCAGACCAACTTTTTTCAATTCCCTATGAAAGCCCCACCCAAAAAGCCCGAACAAGCTTCTGTCAACCCCAGACCTAGCCTTAAAGCCCGATGAGACCAACTTTTCTTCAAAGCCCAGTCTGAAAAGGCCGATCCAGCCCTGAAAAATCCGGGCTTTGCTTTGCTTGTTGGGAAATGAGCTTGGAGGGTCCGGGCCTTGTGCATCTGTTCATGTATCCTGCTAAAATCACAGTTGTACATACGACACGTAAATCCAGTCTCTAGCCCACATACAAGTATTTCAAGCACAGAGTACAACATACAGAGACCTGATCTATATGCCAAAGAGAAGAACAGAAACAAACAGGAGATAGTAATGTATATATTCATTTGAATTACTTCAACCAGTTCTGAATCATATTCGTTTAATAGCACAAAAACATTGAGTTTAGGGTTCTTGCAATTGCAAGATATAGAGCAAAATTGACATGAATACTTGATATCTGTAATCTGGATGAGTAAGAACACAAATGCATGGATGATAACTATTCGAATACTTCCCATTTTTCGGTCACCTTAGTAGAAGATTCCATTGAAGCTTCACCAGAAGCTGTTTCTGGAACATCCGTACTTGGATTGGAGTTCCTTGCCTTAAGATTATCTAATTTCTCAACCAGTCCCTGAACACGACGTACCTGAAGCCGAGAACAAAGAACAAGTTCATTAAGTATTGTTTTGTTCACCTGTTGATAATTTGGAACATTATTCTTATAGCAATACTCTACTAGAGGCATGTTCAAATGAGGATCGTAAATATTTTGAGAAGATGAGAACCAACTATTCGTGCTGAATAATGAAAATGCATGATATTCATAAATATTTTAGTATTATTCATAGAGTAATTCATGAAATAGTAGTTTACAGGTTCTCAAAAAATATTTATTGTTCTCATTTGAACTTACTACTCTACTAACCACCATATTCACAAAGCTTAATCTCATTACTGATCATAACAATGATCGAAGCAAAATAGTATCGGCAATTAAAAGCAGCATTAAAACCTGCTCAACTTCATTATGGTTTATACTAAAGTTTATAGATTTTAAATGCTTTCAAGACTAGGGGATATGCAAATGCACCATGCTGTATCCCAAAAATGTAAGGTTAGGCTTCAACAAGAAGACTAGCAGATTCACAAGAAAGATTATTTTTAACCATTTAAACCATAATATTTGTCTCTATTTCTCAATCACTTCCCAAATCACCCTTTAATAATTCATGTTCACCGAACAAACCACTCTTGAAAACCACCATAAGAGCTATCAAAGACTTCTTTGGGCATCCCGACATGGAAGTGGGATGGGTGCTAGAGCAGTTTTAGTTACACCCTTTTTTCTTGTTGCATGTTCATCAACATATTGAGTGCTACACATTCATTTTTCCATAAGAGGGTCGATTCACTGTGAAATAACAGTGATCTTATCCCTAATATTACATTGGCATTGGTATTTCCCATCAATATTTTGAAATCTTTCAAATCTTGACAAATGCATTTAACTTCTGTTAACTTTAACAAGATACTACTTATGTCATCATATTCTATTAGGAAAGATACAAACAGCAAGCCAAGTGTCCACGAATTTATACTGCAACACCATGTCCTACCATAACATGTATGCATTGGCCTACTATAACTGTATTAGAGGTAGACACAAAAATAAGAATTTCATCGTAAATCACAGTATGCATTGGCCTACTATAACTATAGTCTACATTTAAAGTTGCTTTAAAAGTCAATACTAGGTGTGTTTTAATTGTTATTATGGTTAGGAAATAAAAAATAATGAAGGCTCACAAATATAAAACAGAACAGAATACTTATTGCAATGATGACGTTTCAAAATAATCGAGTTCCATTACTAATGTGTGTAGGTAGTGCATTCGCTACAAACACCTATGTGCTACAAGAGAAGAAAACATGTACTTAAATGACCTATTGTCGCAGTAGGTTGACTAAATCCTAAAGTCCACCTCCCCGACACTTTTGAACATGGATAAACCATATTTTTATTTGGTTTATGAGATGCAATGATTGAGAATACAGAGAGAGAATTTGTAAGAATGAAAGAAAAGGGTTTTATAAGATACTTTCTTCTATAATATATGGTTCATGATATATTATAAGCATGTAGACCAGGAGTTCTTATTGTTGTTTAATGGATTCTTTGAACAAATGCACCCTGTTAAAATAAATTGTATTATTAATTGCCTAAAGCCCAAAACGCATGTTTCATATCTCATAACCTATACACACAGAGAGATGATCCTATTTAATTATATAACCTATAGTTTGAAAATGTGGAATTTTCCAATCAAAAGGTCTTAAAAATGTGCCTTGCTATAACCCGAAACAAAATGGTGAATTCAAAAGAGAAGCAACGCCGGCTAGCCCAGTTGGCAAAGGCATAAACCAAAATTAGAAATCAGGTTCTTTTGGGTAGAGAATTAAAATCAACCATGGATCCTGTCAAGGAGTTGGGTAAAATTATTAAAATATTAAAATTATTTATTTGGCTACTAGATCCCATGATCCCATCATTTTTTGCCCATTGCCTTACTGTCTACGCCAAATTACATTTTTGAAGAGCTTACCCTAGAAAAGCATGATGGGTTTAATGCCTGAAAGTAGGACCAGTGGACTTACAATGGTCGGGAACATGGGTATAGTGGCCAAATAAATAACTTCTATAACCCAGCACCTATTTCACTCAATAGTACACGGGCCAAGCAGATATTTTTTATGCATTCTATTTAATAGAATATCGAGCTGATAATAACAATTAAGGAAACTGAAGATACTGAAAAGGGTTGGCAAATCGACAACATTGGTAACGAACCTCCGATTTTCTTTGTATTCTCCCTTCTCCTTCAGCATCAATTCCATCCAATTTCAGCAACTGCCTCATGAGCATCTCGGTTAAGAAAAGAAAATCTTTATCTGACACCTGAGTCCCAGAACCAACAACGGCCTCTAAGCTAGCCACCTACAATAACTAAATCTAATCAGTTTCTGGTTGAGTTGAAAAAAGATTCAAAAACCTGACAACGTTTAAGGTTAACGATGGAGCGATCAACTTTTTGAACCATCATGCTTGGCTATTCATTGAAAACAAACCATCATTATTGTTATAATGAGAACACCACACTTTGCATGAATGAGTAACTTTGTGGAAAACGTGTCAAGTATGATGGATTGATGGATCTTTTTTGCATTTATATTTCTGCAATTTGTCCGAGGTCATGCATTCTTGCAAAATATAGTTTTTTTTTTTTGGCATTTTTACAAGAACAATAGTTAGTTTGTAAAAGGCAAGTATAATGGTTCAAATAGTCAACCACTTGAAGAAAATGAGAAACCTGTTCTGCAAACTGATCGTTTTCCTCCCTTACTATCCGAACAGCATCAACCCCTCTTGATATCTCCTCAACGTTTTCCTTCACTTCTTCAACCTTTGCAAGATCCTCGTCTTTGCTAGGTGAATTTTCCATTACTATCACCTTTGCATTGTCCTTCACACCTGCCATATGCAAGCTTTCATGGTCATCTTTTCCTTTTCCTCTGAATAACAAGTTTTGCACCTCAGGCTCTAAACCAGTTGCTTTTGCAATCACCTTTTTCAAATCGGCTTCATTAACAAAAAGATATTTGATAAGGATAAGCAATTAAAAAAATAACAAACAATTGAAGGAATTGGTAAAACATTTTCAAAAGAACCATAAATGCCTACAAGCTGTCATAGTAACCATTATGCAAAATATTTCTGGTGGATACATCCACACAGATATCAGTAGCTTTAGTGTAAAGGCATTTAGAAGCAATAAACACCTAAAACTCAGGCCTCATTAGGTAACATCTCTATTTTCTATTTATGTTTACACCTTTTGTAATAGTAACGATGTTGAATTCTCAGCTTTTTAACGAAATCAAAAGCATGTCGCATGATTATATTATTTTTTCAAATGACTGAATGAGATATGAACTTTCTCAAAATATGCTTTTCTCATGATCCAATCTTACAGAATAGCAACAAATTACTTCAAACTTAACAACTAGTGATCACAATATTCGTAAACCAGTTTTCATTTTCCGAAATTATAAGTTAGTTGCCAAATACAGTTTTTCTATCCAAAGTAGTCTTCTTAACGACCAAAAACAAACACACTGCCAGCCAATACCTACTTGATTATGAGAAAAGAGCAACTTATTTATCTTACTATATGGTGCTAATATGCAGCTAACAATAAGATAGTATTTTCATTTGTGAATATGTATGCTATTATGTTAAGATAAACAATAGATGTCTTAGTTCTTCTAATTGAAGTGATTTCTAGACGAGTGTTGTTCTTGATAACACAACACTAATAAAAATAAAACGTAGAAGCAAAAAGAGATGTCATTCCAGTGTTCACATAGTTTATAAGTGAAAGGACAAACAACTGATAAATTTCATAACTGATTCTTGAAAGTTGAAAGCAAACAACGTTTTGAACATCTAATGATAGTGAGTTTGATATTACAGTCAAAGACGTAGATACTCTATTCAAGATACTTTAGACTTGGAGAGTGTAAAGACTGGGGCTAAAAGTACTAATCTTGATTGCACCAAGATTAGTGGGTAAAAGGAAAATCAGACTTACATACTAATCTTGATTGCACCAAGTGACATGAGATAATGAAACAACTAAGGTCTGTAACCAAGCTCCATATAGTGTTTAACTAATCATGGTCTAATATCTAGATGAATAACAAAAATCAGCCTTCCAAATCTTGTTTAAGTGATACCATCCCTCAAAGCTTCAATCCTAGTTCAAACTCCAAACATAATTATTACCCAAACCATGTTTATGACACTTACGAGCCTTTCTAATTCTTTATGCATATAAGCATTTGCACGCTGCTGCTTAAAGTGGAAGCATGAAGAGTGAAGGCACACCATCAATTTTCACTTCAAAAAGGCAAAAAAAAAAAAAAACGAATATAACCAATCCCAACACTTGATAATTCAAAATGCATTAAGATGATATAGCATTAATCTTTGGAGTTATATGGTCAAATGGTAATTTATAATTCATGTCAATTCTTCAGGTGTAAGAGTATGAAGAAGATAATATAATAAACTATGTAAATATTACTACTACTAACAAGGTTCTTGATCTTTATGTGCATAGATCAACGTCGATTTTAAAAACTGAAGAAATACTCTTTAGACCACAAAGTCCAAAAATTGAACGTCCTTCCAAAATCAATGCAAAAGTTTGACTAGTCACATAATTCAATGAAAAAAGTTGAATATCTAATATTTCAATCAATATAACAAAATATAGGGATCTTTTGGATAAAAATCAATACTACCAATGGTTTGTAATGATTACTAATACATAAAAGAGGCAATTATGAATGGAAACTTTGCCAAAACAAAATTGTTGCACTTATGCAATAACAACCTAGAAGAGGAATTTATTGCAATTAGTTTCGGACTGAGGGATAAAGAGTGTCTTTAACTTTTTGGACACAGAGAGAATAGTGTCAAAATTGTCCCCAATGCCAACTGGTAAACCTTATTTAAGGTATTAAGATCATCTCTTCTATACCTCTATATTTTTGGTGTTTCGGGGGCCATTGGACCACAAAGACATAGAAAATCCAAGAAAAAATAAAGAAAATTGAGAAGCAAAATATTTCCATGTTGAATCCTAACAAACTAATCTGGGAAAAAGAAAAAAAGTATCAGCTATTCAAAAATGAAGAATCAAGCATCATATAAGTCGTGTAAAGTTACCTGAAAATGCATATTTCCCTTTTGAGTATCGAACAAATTACTTGAGAATGTTAAACTAAAACGGAATTGTTCTGGGTCAAACAAAATCTTCATAACTACAGTAAACTGTAAACTAACGAGAATCTGCTAAAATTGACACGTATTGTGGGTTTTATTAAAAGCACTTTAGGTCAACTTTGAACAAGAACCACTAGATTGAACTCCCAAAATCAGATAGGGGAATTATAACAGTAAGCTAGCACGAAATTAACAGTGATAATGTCAATTCAAAGGTACGTAGACAGATTAACACCACCATAAACACATACAGACAGATTAACACCACCATACACAAACGAAATTTCAAATAAAATAAGGAATTATACCGAAAGTGGATTGAGGTGGGATAAAGACGTCGAAATTGTTGGAACCATAAGTCACTTTGATCTTAATGGTACCGGCACCAGCATCTTCAACTTCGTTGTTGCCGGTGGTGGTGGCGGTGGCTCCTCCTCCATTTTCTTCCGCCATCGCAAAGCAGATTACAAGCGGTAGTTGTGGAAGCGAGTAGAAGGTTCTATACGACTACCCGGACTTCTGGTAACCAAAAGAGAAATTAACCCTCACCAGATTTCTCGCAACGCTAAATACTCAAAATATCTCCTCCAAACGAACTCAACTTCCGCAAATCGTATGGTAGGAAGTTTGTTTATTATTTAATAAATAAATGAATATGTTCGTTTAGATTAACGAAAACTATGAACAAATGTCTCCTTCATTTATTTATAGGTAATTACTTAATGCGGTAAAATATATTTTAATTTTAATGTTTTATTTTATTTTATCTCGGTCGATATTATAATACAATTTTATGTGTTTTTAAAAAAATAATAATAATTTTATTTTTAAATAAAATATAATTTTAAATATATCATAAAAATTTAAAAAAAATATANAAAATATCATAAAAAGTTGAAAAAATTGAATCGATATTAGTATCAAATTAACTATTAAATAATTCTAATTTTTTTTGGTATAACTTTTTTAATTCTTTTTATTATAATTTAATTTAAGTTTAATAATAAAATAACTTATTTTTGGTAACATTTTAATAATTAAGTATTCTGTTAGAACTTAATAATTATTTTAATTATATTTAAATTTTTTATATTTAAAATGAGATGTTTAAACTGTATTTGATTATGTTTATCTGCAGATAGTTACACGAATTCAGATATGGAGTTTTAATAAGTTGTACTTACGCACAATCTATTTGTAATCTTGAATTTTAAGTAACATGCATTAATAAACAGTATTTTACGTATAAAAAATAATTTTTAAGAGTTTTTGTCAAATGCTTTATAATATTGTATAGATTTGTAAATGTTTATTTATTTATGTTTGTTTACATTTGAAAATGTTCGTTCATCTACATTCGTTTATTTATGTTCATTTAATATATAAATATATTTATATTAACGTTTATTTACATATAAGAAATTTTTAATCTTAAAACTTACTTCACGAAGAGTAAAAGAAATTTTAAATCTTGAAACTTGGTCCATTATTTCTAGGAAAAAATTCAAAATAATCTAACAATTTTTTTTTTTTTTTTTAATGGCTTAGCCCATAAACTATTTTTTTGAATGAAAAAATCATTAAGTTTTTTTATTTTAAATAATTAAATCCATGAACTATTTTTTGAATTAAAAAATCATAAAACTTTTTCTTTTTTGTTGATTAAATCCCTGAACATTTTTTTTAAATAAATAAACCATCGTACATTTTTTTAACCCAAAAAAATTACATTAACCGACTAGTAAAAGTTCGATAATTTATTTATTTATTTCAAAAAATTCAGGGTCTTAATCATTCAAAAAAAATTAATGGATTTAAAAAAAATTAAGAATCAAACCATTCAAAATAAGAAAGTTTATTGGGTTTTTTGATTTATATTCTGATTTGTTTCCAATTCAAGTATCCTAATCCAATCCAACCTCACAGCTTCACCCTCAGTCCTCACCTCACCGACTCACCATCTCTTTTCTAAATTCTAATCGGTCGCTCGTTCAAAACAGCAACTCAGCAAACTGAAGAAGAAACCCTAATCAGTCGCTCGCTCGCTCATTCACTTGCTCTCATCTACTCATCGTCTTCCAACAACAGGTTCGAACTCACTAATTTTTATGTTTTAACTTTTATCTTCTCTGTTTATTTTGATGTTTTACCTTCATGCAGACTTAGTCACTCGTTCTCATCGATTTAAGAAACCACATGTGATATTTTTGTTCAAGGAATGTTTAAACCAATCATTTTCGTGATAGTTTAGGTTAATTTTTAGATGAAATTTTCTGCTTGTTTGTTAATGTTCTAAGTACGTTAAGAGAGAAACAAAAGGTTAGATGCGAAGATGCACAATCTAAATTGATTTTATGGTGTTATCACTTTAGGATATAGATTCAAACTTCGCCTGGAAGACTGATACAACATATTTTGGTTAAACTCTTCAAAACTAATTTTTATAATATAGTATTAGATACAACATATAAGTATTAAGACAAAGTTAAGCATTAATTGATAAAACCATACCACATATAATTACTGGAGTAAAAAAAAGGGATTTACGTAACGTTTATAACGCTAATAATGATAAAGTATAAGGAAAAAAGGACTTGAAATGGGAAACATTTGAAGTACAAGGACTTAAACTGGTAAATGTTTAAATATAAAGGACTGAAAATGGTAAAGGTAGAAGTAAAAAGGATTTCAAATGATAAAAATTATAAGTTGAAGGACTTACAACTATAATTATTAAAAAAAAAAAAACTCCACCGCCTCTTTTCTGCTTCTATCAAGGCTCAAAACACAAAACTCATCACGCTTTCGGGTTTGACGTGGGGTTTTTGAGATTGTTTATGAAAGCTTTTTATTGACTTGTTTTGACATGAAATTAATAATAATAAATAGTTTTTAGTGTGTGGATGGAAAAAAGAAAGTTATTTATGTTATTAATAATTAGTTTTTGATAACTAGATATCTTTAATTAGGGGTGTTTAAAAATCCGATCAACATAACGTGAAATGATTCAATCTGATGTCTAATCAAGTTGTAAAATTGTCAAATCGTAGGTATTGAGTTGATATTGAGTTACTATTATTTGAACCCAATCCAACTCGATGAACCTGATATCTTTTAATTTCTTGGATTTAATATGATTGTTGAATTTCTATTAGTATATACATTAGACAATTATGCTATCATGTATGTTCTTTATATACACATATCTTCAATCTATTTACATATTTATATAACTCATTCGTATATAGGTTCAGTAATTGTGAACATATATATGTAAATTGAGAAAATTAACTGAATGTAATATACGTAAGAAGTATGAATAAATTGTATCAAATGATTGACGATAAAAAAGAAATTACAAGTAGAGAAATAACATATTCAAAGTTGAGAATATTTTAATATATCAAAGTATCAATCCAACTAACCCGTACGAGTTAGGTTGGACTGGTTTGCACTTTAGTTCGAATTAAATTGAATTAAAAAATTTCAAATCAGAAGCATTAAGTTGATTTGTTTAAATCTGACGTAGCATTATCGAATTCATGTTATTAGGTAGGGGTGAGCAATGGAACCGGGTATCCGGCTACGGAACCGGAACCGCCGGTTCCTAAAATACGGAACCGATTGAGAATGGTTCCGGTTCCGGTTTTCAATTTTTCGGAACCGTTACCCGCCGGGTACCCGGTATTTTTCAATAAAAATTAATAATTATTTTTTAATACCAAATTTATATTAGGTTTACATCTTGAAAGTACACCGTCATTTTCATCTTCATTCTTCATATAAAATGATTCGTATTTTTTCAAATTGTGTGTTGACTTGGATTCATAGTATGTAATCGTTAAACTTTGAACAATTGTCATTATAGTATGTAATCGTTAAACTTTGAACATTTACCATTATAGTATGTAATCGTTAAACTTTGAACATTTACCATTATAGTATTTAATCGTTAAACTTTGAACATTTAATAATTAGTCTATTATGATTTGTAATCGTTAAACAATATTTGTAACCATTATTCTGTATAATTTGTATTCTTGCTTATTTATTTAGTGTTTTGACAATGTTTTATTTTTTATTTCTAAATAACAAAATTTTAATATTTTAAGAAGTGGGTACCCAAAACCGGAACCGGTTTACGGCGGTTTCGATTCCAAAAATCATTCTAACCGGTTCCGGTTCCAATATCTAAAAAACCGTCGGTTCCGATTCCTATTCTTATAAAAAAAAACGGGTATCAGCATATCCTCAACCCTGATATTAGGTTTGGGAATCAAATTACGTTTTTTTAATGAACACTCTTGCCCTTTACTCGCCATACGGTTCCTTCCTTCTTTTAACAGATACGCTCGACCTCTTCTCCCCCCTTTTGCCTCCTTCCTCAATCGACCGACAAGAAATCTTACGGAAATCGAACCTGTTTCATCCTACAGAAATCGAAAATCGACCTGTACCTCACGTAAGCGACCTTCCTCCTCAGGTAAGCAATCTCATCGCTGTGATTTCTCAAATCGGTCGATATCTTGCTGCCATAAATCGAACCTGTTTCATCCTACAGAACTCGAAGATCGACCTCTTCCTCTCGTAAGCGACCTTTTTCCTCAGGTAAGCAATCCATCGCTGTGATTTCTCATAATCGGTCGATATCTTGCTGTGACTTGTTTTCCTCTGTGATAAATCGATTTCCTCTGTGGTTTTCTTGCTTGTTTCTCATACATTGATTTTAAGAGCTGTTTTGATAGTTTTCTTGTAAGAGCTTTCTTCCTTTTGGATAGTTGCTTAACTTTAAGAAAAATATGGTTTCATGAGAATTATAATAGCTCATTTAGGGTTTACCATGTTAAGCCAAAAAAAGAAAACTCTTTTTAGGACTCTAATGGATAATAGCTCATTGATAGCTTTTTTTGATTCAAATATTTGTGAACTTCTGATTCAAATTTGTACTAAATTGTTTTTATGCAATTGGGTATGTGGTAGTTCAGATGTTAATGTGATTAATTAGGGTTTTTATGTTCTTTTAAAGATTCAATGGTTTTGATCTCCTGGTTGTGGAATAATGTCTTTTTTGGTCACATGCATAAGCAAAATTTGTCAAACACTAGAAAATAACTTATCAGCTTATTGCGTTTTGGTACTGCCATAAGCTAATCCAAACACTTTTTATAGAACTCCAGTTTGACACCACATAAATTAATAAGCACTTTTACAAAAAACATAAGTTGTTTCAAATGAGCAATCCCAAACACTCCCTGAATCTATATCCTAAAGTGATACACCAGAAAATCAATTCAGATTGCGCATCTTTGCTTTCCATTGATCTCACGTAAGGTATGCTTGATTCAAGACTGCAAAAGTATCAATCATTTAGTTTTGCTTTTTCAAGCGAAACCCTAGTTTCTTAGCTTTGTGGAATCTAACCTTTTGTTTCTCTCTTAACGTACTTAGAAACATTAAACTCAACCATAACTTTTGTTGAATTTATTGTTCGTTCTAGTTTGGTGTTAATTTTACCCTCACCTCACAACAAATTGGAAATCTTGGGATATAAGTCCGATTTAGTTTGCTTATCATGACATCTAATAACAAGTTGCGAATAATTTAACAAAGAATGTTAAATTTGCAACAAGTTTCATGCTTATTCTGCCTTTGAGAAGTAGTGGTTTGATGTAAAAGTCGAATTGAATAATGCTTATTTGTAATTCGTATGTGCATAGCAGCATTGTTTTGACTAGTTTTTAAAAAACCTTGTGAATCCACTTCTCCCTGTTGGCTAGATCTCAATGTTCACCTTGATATTAATTCAGGCTATGCATGTAGTAAATAATAATGTTGTTCGTAAATAATAATGCTTTAGTTCTGTTTAATTTGTATTGAGAACACTTCACATGAAAATCACCTTGAGAAATATGTGTGTGAGGAACTCTGCCCTTCATTAAAGAAATTGATAACCTTGCTGTTTGTCTTAATGCCATTTAATCCAGATTATATATTAAGCACACAAAGCAAACACCAATTTGTTATAGTTCACACAGACAACTAATTTATAAAAGATGGCTTTATCCATATAAGGCTTAATAGAAAAAAAATAAACGAACAGCTCCTTAGTTTAATTGGATTTTCATAGTCATTTCATTTTTAAAGATTCGGTACGTCACCAATTTGAAAACAGAAGAACTATAGGGCCACATAGTTTGTAAAAAAGAAAACCAACTCCCATGATTCAGTGTTTGTATATTCTTGGTTTTCAGTAACATAAGTCCTTCCATGTTTGTTTCCGTTTCATAACTTGAGGTTCTACTTTTTGGTCTTGCTGTAGGTTCACTTCTGAAGAATCATGGAGGAAGACCAGGAAATGGAGAGGTTTGGGATGGAAAACGACTATGAAGATGGTCAATGGATAGGTGATGAATTTTGTTATGGAAAGCGGAAGGAAAAACGTCATCAGAGCAAAGATGATGTGCTCTATGGTATCTTTGCTTCTGGTGACACCGACAGTGACTCTGAAGGTGGCTCCGGCAAGAAGCGGAGGAAAGATTTTTCCAGAAAACAGGATCTTACCAAGCCACTCAATTTTGTATCTAGTGGTGTTGTGATGCCAAGCGAAGAGATAGATCAGAACCCTAAAGAGGAGAATAAGAAAGACGATCAAGATGGTGGTAACCGGCCTGGTTTAGGTTCTGGGGCAGCTGCCTCTGGTCTAGGGCTCGGTTTCCATTCAAAGGACGTAAGCACGGCTAAAGAAGAAGACGGAGAAAATAATATTGACTTCCTTCCTACTACATTTGGTAAGATGATCAAAGAAGGCGCACTTCAGAGGAGGGAGAAGGAAATGGAGAAATCCCGGTTGAACAAAAAGTCGTCTCAAATAGGATTAAGAAGGAGAGATGCAAAAGATGACGGAAATGTGGGCGTATTCGAGAAGCATACCAAGGGAATTGGGATGAAGCTGCTTGAGAAGATGGGTTACAAAGGAGGTGGCTTAGGGAGGAATGCACAAGGTATTGTTGCTCCTATTGAAGCAAAGTTGCGGCCCAAGAACATGGGAATGGGATTCAATGACTACAAAGAGGCAGCTAATGTGCCAGCATTAATGGAACCATCGGAGGAGAAAAAGGCCTTGCCGCAGCCTGCTGGTATCCAAACAAAAGAGAAGCTGTGGTCGAAACAGAGTCGCTCAAAAAAGAAGAAAAAGGATTATGTAACTGCAGAGCAGTTGCTAGTCAAGAAGCAAGAACAGGGGCTGGATGTAGTTCAGAAAGTGTTTGATATGAGGGGCCCACAAGTTCGGGTGTTGACGAATCTTGAGAATTTGAATGCCGAAGAAAAATCAAGGGAGAACGATATCCCCATGCCCGAGCTCCAACATAATATAAATTTGATCGTTGATTTGGCCGAGCTCGATATACAGAAAATCGATCGGGACTTGAGAAACGAAAGGGAGACAGTTGTCACTCTGCAAAAAGAGAAGGAGAAGCTTAAAGATGATGCTTTTCGTCAAAAAAAGCAGCTCGATAATATGGAGGAGATCGTTAGCATGCTGGAACGGCTAGGTAATGAGAGCCAGTTGGGAACCTTGACCCTAGACTCGCTCGCTAACTCATTTCGGGACTTGTACAAACGGTTTCCTGATGAGTACATACTCTGCAGCCTTTCTAGCATCGCATGCTCTCTCGCCATGCCTTTGTTCATTCGAGTTTTTCAAGGATGGGACCCACTTCAAAATCCGGCACATGGTTTGAATGTTATGTTACTATGGAAAGACCTGTTGCAAGGAGAAGAGATATTTGATTCGACTTACACCCAACTCTTCATGGAAGTTGTGTTTCCTGCTATAAGGATATCGGGTACCAACACTTGGCAAGCCAGGGACCCTGAACCGTTGCTGCGGTTTCTCGATTCTTGGGAACAACTACTGCCTCACTCTGCTCTTCAAACCATACTCGAGAACATTGTCATGCCAAAGTTAGCTGTTGCAGTCGACTCATGGGACCCACGACGCGAAACCATCCCTATACATTCATGGGTGCACCCATGGCTACCATTATTGGGCCAGAAGCTCGAGAGTCTATATCACACTATACGTAACCGGCTTGAAAGCGTTCTTCATGCTTGGCATCCAAGTGATATGTCGGCTTACTACATATTGTCACCATGGAAAACTGTTTTTGATCCGGCAAGCTGGGAACAAATAATGGTTCGACACATAATTCCTAAATTGTTGGCGGTCATGCATGAATTTCAAGTCAATCCAGCCGATCAAAAGCTTGACCAGTTCTATTGGGTCCGGACTTGGGCTACAGCCATTCCGATTCATCATATGCTTCACATAATGGATGTATTCTTTAACAAATGGCAAGAAGTCTTGTATCAATGGCTATGTTCAAAACCGAACTTCCAAGAAGTGACAAATTGGTATCTGGGTTGGAAGGATCTTATTCCGGCCGAGCTTCTATCCAATGAACACATCCGGTATCGGCTCAATATGGGTCTAGACATGATGAACCAAGCGGCTGAAGGGTTGGAGGTGGTCCAGCCCGGTCTGAGAGAAAACATTAGCTACCTGAAGGCACTTGAACATCGGCAGTTTGAAGCTCAGAAGGCGGCAGCAGCAGCACAGGCGGCAAAGGGACAGCAACGGAGTTTTGGTGATGATGCGGGTGGCGGTGATATGAGTTTGAAGGAAGTTATTGAAGTTCATGCACAACATAACAATTTGCTATTCAAGCCAAAAGTGGGAAGAATGCAAGATGGTCATCAAGTTTATGGGTTTGGGAATATTAGTATTATTGTGGACTCTTTGAACCAGAAGGTATTTGCTCAAACTGAAGATAGATGGTCTCTTGTGACACTTGACCAATTGGTGAAGCTAGAGAAGAGCTCTGTTCTTAGAAGAAGATGAATTTTGAGGTAACTTTTATTGCTTATTTGATTGTTGTTTGATTTCTCATTGTTTCATTATAGACCATCTTAAAATTCATGTTTATTGTTCAGGCATATCTGCTTTTAATTTAACGTAAAGTGTCAAGTTCGATGCATTGCTGCTGGTTATTGAACGGGAAGGGGTCGATTGGTGTCCCCGAGATGATTGTTGATTGCGGATTATGAACGTCATCTACGAAAAAGAGAGGTAACGATCGAGTTAAAAGTACGAACTAAATAGTAATCGTTTCAAAATATTGATACAGCCGAATTGAGGTTAATAGTGGAACATTTGGTGGCTGTGTTGTGCTCTACTTGCTTAGAGTAAACGTCATGTTTATATACATCTTATCCTCGAGATCCCATACTATGTGGTAAGGAAATTTTGGAAAATTGATGGTAAATGTCAGGTTTATATACATCATTTAAATCTATTTTTCACTTTAAAAAATTGTAAATAAATAAAAGAAAATATAATGATTTTTTTATGTTTCTTTTGAATAACCATTATTGAAAGAATAACATGATGTGTAGTTGTGGCTTTAGTGAGTTTGTATAACCTACATGGCTTGTTCGTTATTCGGTCCGTTGGGTATTGTTTTCATTTGTCCATTGTATTTTCTATTAATTCCACTAGAGGGTCCTTTATTAAAAGCTTACCCTGTAATAATGCTTATGGTGTCATTTTACCTTATTGGTTGAACATGACGATGATTGAAAATCTTACTGATGACAAGGACTGAAAGTCCTACCTGGTAAGTAAGAGTGATGACTCTTACTTGGTAAGTGTTTACCAGATAAATTGTTCATATGTTGTTCCACTCGTTTTAATGGATAATTTAGTAAAAGTATCGACTCTTACCAGGTAATCGTTATGTAAACGGCTCTCATGTTAATGCGGATAACAAGTTCAAAAGAAGCAGACGACCAATAAAATCATGCAACAGGCATGCGTAACGTGTTCTAAAAGGAATAACATAAATTTTTATCGGAAACTTGCGTTATAAGAAGATATATCATCGACTCTAAAAAAAGGGTCGATATCAATTAACTTTCATATAAACACGATGGAATTATGCATTTGATATGTTGAACAAGACCATATATGCAAATACATAACTTTGTGATCTTTTAATTGGTGCTGACATCATACTGGCACATGATATGTTTGAAGAGCAGTGAATTTATTGGTTTCGTAGTCAATGGTAGAATTGAAAAATAGACATTTATTATGCAGAGTTTATCTTTATTTTAAAATAAACTAAATTAGAGACGTGGATGCTTATTTTCTAAAACAAAACAAAAGTATGCTCCACAAATCCATCAAAATGGAGAATCAAAAGTCAAAACCTTTTAAGAAAATTTGTATTCATCTTTAATGGCTTCTTAATTTTGAAAATTACAATATGAATTATATTTTTAAAATGTTTAATACCTTTCGTAAAATATTATCACTCTCTTATTATATTTATTTCGAGGATTCTGGTTAGTAAGAAAAATAAAAAAAATGATTTCTTTTTTTAAATAATTATTTTTAGACGGTTTCTCAAATTTGGAGAATTTCATTTTTTATTCTCTACTTTCTCCGTTTAGATAAAATTTTGAGAAATTTATTGGAGTAAATATCACCCCTCTCTATTTTGAAAAATTAGAAGTATGTTCACATAGTTTTAAAGGTTACATTCACAATATTTTACTGTAATGTTTTAAGTGTAAAAATGTGGTCTCATAAAAATAAGACGGTCTCATATGATTCCAAATATATATACAAAGGAGTGATCAAATGCAAACCACCCATATTTCTACAAAAGTTGCAAACGACCCTCATCCGTCGATTTCATTATTTAATCTTATGAAATTTTCTAATGCAATTGTTTAATCTTATGAAATTGTCTCATACAATATATATATATATATATATATATATTTTGATGAAATTGTTTCATATATGGCTATGAAATTTAATGAAACCGTTTCTTGTATTTCTCTAAAATTAATATGATGAAGATGATAATATATATGGTTAACATCCTCCACAATAAAAATGATTAATCAACCTCTCATAATTACCAAAAAAAGAACAAAATGAAAATTTATAATTGGTTGAATGAGGTTTGCACGGTTTGTATAAATAACGTGATTTTTAAAGTAAACCTCCTCCTCCTCCTCCTCTCTCTCTCTCTCTCTCTGTCTGTATATATATATATATATATATATATATATATATGTATATGTATATATATATGTATATATATATATATATATATATGTATATATATATATATATGTATATATATATATATGGGCTTAATCAAATAAAAACTGATTAGTTTGTGGTAACTGTGAGATCCAATCTCAACCATAAATCAATGGATAAATTAGGAAATTAATAATTATGGTAGTTTGAGTTAAAGTTATAATTAGAGGACATTTTAGGTATTTTTTAAAAACTCCTCTTTCCTCTCTTCTCTCTCCTCTCTTATCTCTCATCTCTCATCTCTTCGACCTCCAATCTCCGACCTCCGGTGAACAAAAATCCGGTAGGTACCAAGTAATCACAAAGATACACAATGTGATACCCATTGTGATATACTGTGATAGAGGTCGGAGATTGGAGGTCGGAGAGATGAGAGAGAAGAGAGGAGAGATGAGTTTTTTAAAAATACCTAAAATGCCCTCTAATTATAATTTTAACTCAAACTACCATAATTATTAATTTCCTAATTTATCCGTTGATTTGTGGTTGAGATTGGATCTCACAGTTATCACAAACTAATCAGTTATCTCTTGAATGAGCCCCATATTATGGGCCCAATAAAATGAGAACTGTTTAGTTTGTGGTAACCGTGAGATCCAAGATAAACCAATCATTCAGGATAATTATTATAATTTCTTAAAATAAGTATAAAGGTAAATTAGTAAATTGTGTTGAGTATTCAATTTACTTTAATTAGTTTAATATTCTAAATTTAGAATAGATGTGTGTGTGTGTATTAGAATGGACGAGATCACCATCTATGACCCTCTTTCCCCATTGTCGGTCAAAACATGCTTCATCTCATATGCGACATTTTACACCGATCCCTTTGCCCAACACCATCCGACGCCTCTTTCTCCGCCCATCTCCGACCACCGCTACTTCTTATTCTCTATCCATCTCCAACCACCGGGCATCATCTCCTCAACTCTCACATTCACCGGTCTGAGTCCCCTCTGTTGAACAATCCAGATTGGTTTTGGTTTTTCATATCCCAAGAAATCTGGTTTCTGCACACCCGGATCGGTTTCGGTTTCTGGTTTTTATTCAGATCTCATTTCAGATTGGAGACGTAACCGAGATCTTGCCGGAGATGTAACCCAAAAGATGTAAGGTTTTTTTGATGTAACCTGGATCTCTTTGGAGATGTAACGTTGAGTGGTAATACAGTGGTATCACAGTTGTATTCATCAACCAAACCTTGTATCATAGTGTGTATTACAATTTATTTTTGTTGTTTTTCAAAGTGTAACACAATATATCAGGTAATGTTGTTTTACTAAGTGTATCACACTGTGTTTTTTCGTTATTTTAGGAAGCGTATATAAGATTTTTAAAATACCTAAAATACTTTTTAATTAAAATTTAAAGTTTACCAAAATTATTAGTTTCCTAATTTGACCACTTATTTGTGGTTGAGATCAGATCTCACATTATCACAAACTAACCAGTTCTTCGTTAAATGACTCTCACATTATCACAAACTAACCAGTTCTTCGTTAAATGACCCCCTATATATATGTATGTCACATGATTCCAACTATATATCTATATTATATTATAAAGAATTCGACAAAAACTTTTAAAAAACCATTTTTTAGCATGAAATACTGTTTATTGATGCATATTACTTAAATTCAAGATTACAAGTAAATTGTGCATATGTACAACTTATTAAAGTTTTGTGTTTGAATTCATGTAACTAAATGTAAATAAACATAATCAAATAGATAACAAACATCTCATTTTAAATATAAAAGATCTAAAATACAATTAGGATAATCATTGAGTTTTAACAAAATACTTAATTATTATCTATACTATATTATAAAACATTTGACAAAAACTCTTAAAAACCACTTTTTATGCATAAAATATTGTTTATTAATGCATGTTACTTAAAACTTTAGATTACAAGTAAATTGTACTTATTAAAGTTCTATATCTGAATTCGTGTAACAAACTGCAGATAAACATGATCAAATACATGATAAACATCTCATTTTAAATATAAAAAATCTAAAATAAAATTAGGATAATCCTTAAGCTCTAACATAATACTTAATGATTATCTTTATAAAATATTATATTATTAAACCAAAAATAAATTATTTTATTATTAAACTTAAATTAAATTATAATTAAAAATATAAATTAAATAGTTGTTTAATATTAACGTTGATATATTCTTTAAAACTTTTATGAATTATTCAAATTTATATTTTATTCAAAACAAAAATAAAATCATTATTGCTTTCTTAAAACCACATAAAATCGTATTGTAACATCGACAGAGACAAAAAATAAAATAGAATATTAAAATTAAGATGTCTCGTTGCATACGCAAATACCCTTTTAGTCTTTATAAAAAGTTATATTATTATATCAAAAATAAAAAAATAAATTAAAAAAAATACAAAAAAGAAAAGAAATTTTAAATAGTTAGTTTGATATTAGTATCAATATTTTTTTCTAGTTTTTTATATCTTTATATTCATATTTTCTTAAAAGAATAAAAACATTATTTGTTTTCTCAAAATTACATAAAATTATATTATAACATTGACCGAGACAAAAAAAATAAAACGAAATATATCTCGCAACATTATACAAGTACTCTTCTAGTACATATGTATATATATATATATATATATATATATACTAGAAGAGTACTAGCGCAATGCAGCGAGATACATCGTGTTTTTAATATTTCATTTTATTCTTTATCTCAGTCGATGTTATAATATGACTTTATGTGATTTTGAGAAAGCGATGATGTTTTTATTTTTGAATAAAAT